GCAAATCCCCAGGCTGGGAATCCCTACCCTGCTTGTTACCCAAAGACCGTGTAACACCCAGCCATATGGCCAAGCTAATGTCTCATCACAGCCATTATAAAAAGCAGCAAGTTAAAAGATTACCCAGCAGAGCTAAGATGAGGCCTCAGAAATCAGAGGGACATTTTTTCCCCCCTCACACAATCAAATAAAACCAGGACTGAAGAACTTTGACTGCAACTCTGGATGTATGAAATAAGGAAGAAGGAAAGGAAGGGTGGCTAAGGCAAGGGAGAGACTAAACACACACACACACACACACACACACACACACACACACACGTTTCCTTCAATGTGTCAGCACAGTTTAACTGTGCCTCCTCTGCCTAAACGGTGAGTTGCTAAAGACTGCCCTCTTCCTCCTCCTGGCTTTGGTGCCCAGCACAGGACGGGCATATTGCTGGAATGTAATGAATGAAGTTGCCAGATGCTTCAGCCAGGCAGGTTGCCATCATGTAAAACCTCACCAAGGGACCCAAACACACACCTCACAAGATCTTCCCAGGGTCTCCATGCCACCTCAGGCTGCCCTGGGCCTCTGCACTGGGTACCTACTGAGCAGGGGCAGGCTCTCTCGGGAGCACGCCCTCGCCCTCCTTCCCTCTCAGGTGTGCGTATTTACTTTTCTCTCCTAAACTCTTAAGGGTCCAACCGAGAGCTCTGGGGAGCAGCCGCTCATCCCAGGCTTAGCTCACGAACCCGTCTCCAAGACCCCCTTCCCCCTGACGTTTCAGTGAGCTAACGGCAGCCCAGCGCGGCACATTTCGTCAGCATGTTTCTGGAGAGCCAAAGCAGAGGGCCACCTAGGCTTTCTCTCTTCTTGCTTCTTCTACCTTAAGCCTCCCGCCCCCCCTTCCCCGGCCCCCCGCTTTGTTTCACTGTTCCCAGCTTTAATAAATACACCCCACACTCCCAAAATAAAAAATAAATTAAGAAAAAGAAAAGAGCATTGGGCAGGGAAGCCAGGAGTCTGGGTTCCAGCCTGGGCAAGCCACTCCCCTCTAGCACAAAGAGGTCTGGGAGCCTGGGGACTAGAGAGTCCCAGGAAGGGGGCAGGTCGAGTCCAATCCCACATTTGGCTCTTGATCCCCGTGCCCCAAGGAGTTTCCACCTGGTTCGTCAGGCGAAGGCTCCCACATTTGCTCGGAGTCTGGGAAGAAACACAGCAGGCGGGAATCACTCCTGCCCCCACCAGGAAGCCAGACAGCCATGGAGGGTATTTCTCAATCGCAGCCTGTTGGACTAGAAGGCATGTCTGTGTGTACGTCAATAAATATTTTCCCCAGAAAAGCAACAGGACAATACAGGCTTACAAAACCAGTTACATAACCTCCCAAAACTTAAAGATCTGGACACAAGGGAGGCTCCTTGTGCCTCCCCGAACCCTTAGGATGAGGCTCCACCCCAAACTGGAAGGTGATGAGGTCCCAAGACTCAATCCCAAAGTGGCGAGGGAGCCCCTGCCTGAGCAGAGGCCAAGACAGATGTCCTCAAAGTACACACTGTCCTGGGCTTGTGTCCACACGTGTGCATATGAAGGGGGAGGCGGGGGCGTGGAGGGCACGCTGGTGGAGAAACACCTGAGAGCTCTGTAAATGCTTCGTCTTCCCGTGGGCACAAACTGAGGCAGAGGCCCGGCTGACAGCCCCCACAAAAGCCAGGGAAACTGGCTTATGAACAAGGGGCTCCCAGAGCCCTGGCCACCTGCGGCTGCTGTTTGCCGGCCCAGGTGCCCATGGCTTTCTGGTGCCCACCTGTAGGTCAGAGCCTTCCTCATGGCACGGCTGGGCAAGAGGGGCCTCTGTGTTTAAAAGCAGTCTCATACCCACCACCACCCACGGCCCCCATGTACCCTCGAGGGAACTGTGCCAAAAGTCCCAGGCCCCAGGGGGGGTCCTCAGGGCTGCCCTACCTCCCCTAACCAGTCCAACCTGAGGCTCTGCCCCCTCCCTACCCAGCCCCTCTCTGGGATGGCAGTGCCAGCGCCACATTGAGCAGCCGTCAAGCCTGAGCAGAGATAACAATGCAAGGTCACCGCCCCTCCCAGGCTGTGTGTGTTGAAGGCAAACACCCTGGCAGCCAGGAAAGGGGCCTCACCACCACCAGGTCAGCAGAGTGAGTGCCGCTCCGCCCTCGGGCAGGCGGGAGGACACGACCCACAGGCCAGAGCACCCTGGGAGAACTCGGGAGCCTCACGTTAGCTCGTGGGGTGCCAGAGGCAGGGCCTGCTGTGGCTCCAACTACTATCCTCCTACCCTACGTTACACAGGCAGTGTAGACAGAGACGGGATTCAAACCAAGTCGATCTGAAGTCAATCTCAAAGCTCTGACAGCCCACAACGGATCTCACAGTGACCCATCGACAGCCCAGCATGGCTCCCCGATGGAACAGGGCATGGCGGCGGCGGTTACCCACCACCTACCAGCCGAGAAGGACCGAAGCATCTGCTCCAGACCCCTGGACACCAGAAAGTAGAGCCACGTTGTAGAAAGGAACTGCAAGTAGTGAAAAGGCCACAGCTCTCAACCCCAGGGATGCTTTCTCCCACCAACCTCAAAACCACCCCACAAGAGCTTTGGTAGACATCTGCCCAGCTGAACAGATGGGCCATCCCACCCGCCAACACACACACACACACACACACACACACACACCACTCACTCCCAGGAAGACTTGCAGCTCTCTTTTTTTTTTCTTTTTTCTTTTTTTTATTGATTTTTCACAGAGAGGAAGAGAGAGAGATAGAGAGTTAGAAACATTGATGAGAGTGAATCATCGATCAGCTGCCTCTTGCACACCCCCTACTGGGGATATGCCCGCAACCAAGGTACATGCCCTTGACCAGAATCGAACCGGGGACCTTTCAGTCCCCAGACCAATGCTCTATCCACTTGAGCCAAACCAGTCCCGGCGACTTGCAGCTCTCTTAAGGCTCCCTCCCGGCCAGGAACTTCCCCTCCGAGAGCTGCACCCAACCACTCAAACATAAGGGCTCAATTAAAATGGATAAAACACCCTTCACCCCCACTTTCCGGGGCTGCCTCCACCAGCCGCCTAAATACCAGGGTCCCATGCTGTCACATAGACCCAGACAAGCTGGAGAACAGCCAGGGCCTCTCTCTCCTCGCCCTCCAGAAGCTTCTCTCTCAGAAAGTCCCTTCCAGCCACCAATTCGGAGTTGACTCAGAGAGGCCAATAACTCCTCACCCATTACTAGGAACAACGCTGTTATAAAACAAAGCTCAGTGAGCTAGCGACCACAGCCTCTCCTGATTCATCCGGAAGGCCCTGCACTTCAAACATCAATCAGATGAACTTTGGGGCACTTTCATTTGCTAATTAATTTCTCTTCCCTTCTGCTGAGAAGTCCAGGCAACTATTACAAACACAAAAGGACTGAGCGGCAGTGCCGGGATGGGGGACACTGGCCTCTCTGGAGTAAGGAAGGGAACTCACTCTTTCTTCCTTCTCTCCTCAAACTCTCCACGGGAGCCTGAGAAATAAAACTTCAAGTCCCAAGTCCACGTTGTCACATACTTAACATACACAATCTGGTTTCGTTCTAAAAATAACCCAGTGAGTTCATCACAGACAACCTCCTCTCACACATGCGAGACTCGGAGGAACCGCATCTCATGCACTTGGCGGTGGGCGAAGATTCGACCTCATTCTATGGGACCCATCTGCTTCCCAGAGAGCATCATCCAGTCCAAAAGAATCCCGTGTTCTGCTTTAAGGAAAGTCCCCCCCTTATGGCTGCCGTTCATGTCTGACCAATTGCGAGAGCTTCCTCCCAAACTGGATATAAAAAATGTTGAAGTAATTATTGGAGAAATTGAGCAAGAGCAAGTAAGAGGCCTGCGCTGCCAGGATTCTGCGGAAAAGTGTAAGAGTTCCTACTGGCAGGGTGCCTGCCTGCTTGCCAGGGCCCCTCACCAGGAACAGCCTTCTCTCAGCCCTGGCATCAGAAATGAGCAGCCACCTGTCTGGTAATCTTGGAAGCAAACCTGTGGCCGCGCTGGGCTGGGCTGCCTGTGGATACAGGTCAGAGAGAGAAGTTCCTCCCGACACAGGGAATTCGATCCCACCCACCCAAGCTCCCAGTCTACTGGAAAGGGAGGCTGGTATGATTAAGGTTCCCATCCTCTAGGCACGATCACTCCAGGCTGCTCCCGGAAAGGGACGACTCGGTGCTAACCGGTTCGGTATCAGCCCTCCAGCCTCCGGGGCTCACATGTCCGTTCCCACAAACACCTCCCGCGGCCCCTGGAAGGACCTACACCTCATGGAGGTTTGGGGAACCTATAAGGGCAAGAAGCAGGGGAGAAGGATCCTGAGCACCGCGGGGACAATTTACGGAGGGTTTACCCTCATTAACACAAACCTTTGTGTACACTGCTTTAGCTTATAATCTTCCAAAACGACTTCCGGAAACAGGTACCATTTATTTATCCCCCATTAGACAGGCGAGGAACCAGAAGTTTAGGGGGAAGTCAGGAAAAGAGGTTAACCCACTCAGCTGAGAGTGGTTCTGAGGAAGGAAGCCAAGTTGGACTGGGAGGTCCGCTCCCTGTCCGCCAAACCGGAGTGGGCTTCCTCTGAGCTGCCTTGAAGGCTGTTCCGAGCCCTAAGCACTCAAAACTCAAAACGTCTCGAGGCTTAGGGCCGGAGCAGGGACCTCTCCAAGGCCCTCTCTCTGGTTCTGGGGCCGGAGGGCCCTGCGGCTTCCCCTTCCACCACCACGAACCCCAAAGGGACTCCCCTCCCAACCTCTCACCCACCCCCGTCCAGCCCGGAACCTCTTGGGAGATTAGGGCTGATCCGGAATAGGTAGCTGTCTGTCCCGGAGGAGGGCGTGGGCACACGTCCGGGACCGGGGGCGGGGGTGAGGGTGGGGGGACCGGTCGGGGAAATCCGGGGGAGTCCCAGTCCTCGGAGTGGCGCCCCCCCGAGTCCTTACCGAGCAGCGGGGACTCCTCGGGACAGGCGGGCAGCGGCAGGGCGGGGACGAGGGACCCCGGGGCCGCAGTCAAGTTGCTCGCGAGGCCGGGGAGGGCAGCCGCGTCGGGGCCGGGATCGCTGCCCCGGGGCGGCCGGGCCGTGGCGTCCGCGGGCGAGGGCTGCCCGGCGGCGGCTTGCAGCGGCGGGGGCACCCCGACCAGGTAGGGCAGGCGGCTGAGGTCGCGGCCGCTCAGGTAGTAGACGAGGGTGACGCCGAGGTGCAGCGCGCAGACGGCCACGAGCAGGCGGCAGGCCCGCTGCAGGGACGCGCCGGGCATCGCGGCGCTGCCGCCCAGGAGCGGCTCCCGGAACCTCATCTTGCCGCCGCCGCCGCTTTAAGAGGCGGGTGGGCTCCGGCGGGTACGGGGCGGCCCGCCCGCGGGCCCCCGGCCAGGCGCGGCCGGACCGCGGGGCTGGGGGAGGGGCGGGAGGCGGGAGCGAGCGCCGGGAGCACAGCGACCGCCGCCGAGACGCGCGCCGCCCGCCCGGCCGCCGAGCGCGGAGCTGGGCGCCGCGGGCGCGGGCGCGGGCGCGGGCGGGGCGGGGCCGCCGGGGGCGGGGCCGGGCGGAGGGTTGGGGGGGGGGGAGCGCGGGGCGGGGTCTCTGGGGCGCGGGGGGCGGGGCCGGGGGCGGGGTCTGGGGAAGGGGGGCTGCGGGGGGCGGGACTGTTGGGAGGGGCGGCGGGCAGCCCCGAGGCGCCCCAAGGTGCCCCGGGCGGGGTGCTGCCCAGGTTCGGCCGGGGACGCCGGGGACAGCCCAGAGCGCCGACCTCTCGAACTCGGCGGCGGCGGGACCTGGTCACTCGCGGGGCAGCCGCGCCTCCTCCTCCTCCTCCTCCTCCTCTGACCCGCCCGCGTGAGGCGCCGCCACTTCCTGGGGTGCTCCGGGCTGGGACGGGGGCCTGGCCAAGAGGAGGGCGGAGAAGAGAGCCAGCCGGTTGCTGTTTGGGGGGGTTGGGGCCTGCGGGGTGGGGGAGAGGGGTGCAGAGAGGCTGTCCCAGAAGCGGGCTTCGGCCGGGCGGGAGGCGGGACAGCTGGGAGGGACTCTCCTGGAAGCCCTGAACCCCCTTCCTTAGGCTACGGCCGTGGGCCCAGCGTGAAGACGTGCCCCCCCCCCCAGCCCTGCGGAAAAGATAGTGGGTGCGTGTGCTTCTCTTGAATAGCCCAGGCTACGGGTGTGTGTGTGTTTGGGGGGTGCCTCTTCTAGTGCATCCCACCCCACGAGGGTACGCGATTTGGGAGCGAAGCGAGGAGCCTCAGTAACTCCCACGCAGGCAAGAAGGAGGAGAGCAGCCGGCTCTATTTAAAATCCACATAGGTCTGGACACATTCCCGTGAAGTAGGAATTGTCCCCATTTTGCAGATAAAGAGTTCAAGGCTCAGGAAGGTGAGGCTTGCATAAGATCCCACAGCTGTTGGGAGGCAGGGACGGAATTCTGGCTCCATAACTTTATTTTATTTTATTTTTTAAATATATATTTTATTGATTTTTCACAGAGAGGAAGAGAGAGGGATAGAGAGTTAGAAACATCAATGAGAGAGAATCATCAATCAGCTGCCTCTTACACACCCCCTACCGGGGATGTGCCCGCAACCAAGGTACATGCCCTTGACCGGAATCGAACCCGGGACCTTTCAGTCCGCAGGCCGACGCTCTATCCACTGTGGCTCCATAACTTAAAAACAACAACAACAACAACAAAAACCACACACATGTTTAGTCCTTGTTCATTTGCAAGTAAGGGCTGGAGGTTCTTTGGGTTCAAATTTGACCCAGAGGCCACTCCTCAGGCCCGCCTAGTGCATAAGTGAGCAGGGAAACCTCAGCCCTGAGGGGGACTCACGGAGGCGCTGTCACTTGTATGGATGATGGAGAAGCTGGGGGCTCTGACAGCCACTCTGCAGTGCGGGGACTAGCAGAGATTGAAAATTGATTATATGCTGGTCAGACACACGCCTAACTGCTCCACACATTGTATCTCATTCAGTTCCAGCTACCCTGCAAAGGAACTGTTAGTGTCTCCATTCCGCAGGTGGAAAAGCCCAGGCTCAGGAGTTGGCCCTTGGTTGTGATCCTACAGAATCCACTTTCTTCACTTGGCTACCCGAACCCCTGACTCTCCTGGTCTTCCTCACTCCACTGGCACGCCTGTCTCTCTGATGGGCTTCTTCTGCCTGCTTTAGCCACACTAGCCTAATTGCTGGTCCTTGAACTTGCCCCATTTCTTCTTGCCTTGGCTGTTCACTTAGCCTGGAATACTCTTCCCCCGTGTGTCACTCAGATCACTCAAGAGGTCCTTTTAGACCACCTTGTAGAAAGTCCCCCACCCAAATTTGCTTAAGCAGCTTGGTTTTCTTTTAGAGCAGACACCACTACCCAACATGAGACGTTTTATTATTGCCTCTCTCCCTCAGCAGATCAGCTCCGTGAGTGCAGGAACTTCCATGTTCACGCTGTATCCTCAGTTCCTAGAACTGAACCGGCACACAGTTGGCACAGAATGAATATTTGTAAAAATTCCTGTGAAGTGAATGTTTACGATTGTCTTGCTAACGTGGGAAGGGGAGAAGGGAAGAAAGGTTGTTGTTTTAGAACACAAAAGTCAGGAGTTGTTCACCAGGAAGTTGGTGCCGATGGAGCTGACTCGATAACAGCCTATGTATGCCCAGAGGAAAATGCCTGGCCAGTGAGTGAGGACGGGTCAGGTTGGCTCCCATCAGAAAAACGAGGGGAGAGGAAAATGGAGATGTTTCCTCCATGCGTCTAGGTCACATGTGTCAAACACAAGGCCCGCGGGCCAAATCCGTCCCGCCAGGCCTTGCAATGTGGCCCGCACCGCGCTGTCATCACTGCACTCCGCTGCGTTTCCATCACAATGACAGTTTATGACTGTTCAGTAAACCATTCGGCCCGCGATTTAGGCTGGATTTTAGATTTTGGCCCCTTCTCTGATTGAGTTCGACACCCCTAGTCTAGGTAATGGCCAGGAGATAGGAGTGAGGGGAGGTTAGGGTCACAGACCTGTCCCTTTCTGTGGCCAGGGGGTGCAGAAAGGAACGGACACTTGCTCTATCCCTCAGGAACACGCAGAGTCCACTGAGGCATGAACACCAGCCTCACCATCTCTTGTCCAGAGGGACTTAGAATCAGTACATTTCTTGCATCAGAAAGCTCCAGAAGGTCAGAAACCGTCAGGACAACATTGTCCAACATGAACTAGATTTAGAGAGCCAGACAGACCCCAGGCAACCTTCTCCAGCTCTTCCCACTCTCACCTTTGTCAGGTGAAACAATCCATTCAGGGACATGCTTGAAGGAGGAAGTTGTTAGGCTGACTGGCCAACAGTTGGGATCTGGACTTGGTAGTTTGCCTAACCCATGCTGATCTGCCCAGACTCACCCAGCCCTCTGCTTCTCTCTGCAGACTGCCTTCAGCTGGGTAGAGGCATTTTCTCTGTCCTTCACACAGTACTCTCGTCTGCACCTGTCAGTTTACCTTTCTGTTTTACCCTAGTAGGTCAGAGTGCATAGAATAGTGCCTGGCCCTTGGTAGACAATCATTTCAGTTGTCTGTGGCTGAATAGCACACAACCCCAAAACGTAATGTCTTAAAACTAATTGTTATCACAATTGTTTCCTGGGCTGTGCTGCTCCACATGGTGTCAGCTGGGGCACGGGCACTGTTGGAAATTCCAAAGTGCCCCCCCACCCCATGGTTGGCAGTCGGTGCTGGCTGGCGGCTGGGTCAGAATGGGTCGTGGGTCAGGGCCTTGGTTCTTCTTCCCATGGACCTCTCCACATGGTTGCTTGGGTTTTCTCACACACTGGAGGGTGTATCCCAAGAAGGGACATTTCAACAACAATGTAAATTCCTTAAGGCCCAGCCCTAACCATCACTTATGTGGGCACTTTAGTTATAGGAGCGTCCAGATTCAAAGGGAGCAGAAATAGACTCCTTGGGAGAAGGGGTTGGCAGGCATCTTTTGTGATCCACAGGAGTAGACCAGTGGTCACAAATGGTCTCTATTCCTTCCACAAGTAACATGCATTCATCTCTTCCAAAGATTCCCCAAAGGAACAACATCCCATTAGGACTTCTGCCTCGGACTCTGGTCCAGAATCTTTCTCATCATTTGAATCAGTCCTGTGTGCTCACTTTGGCAGCACATATGCTGAATCAGGCCTAGGTGTGGTTCCTCGAGTTCCAGGGAACCATAAAACATAAAACGAGGTATGGTTACCTATGGAACCTATTTTCGGTATCGTTGACCTATGGAACCTATTTTCCAAGCCCCGCAATGTGTGATTGAAACAGAAAGTGAAGCTTCCAAAACCCTAAAACACAGAGCATTGACTTTGGAAGCAGAAAGCTTGCCGAGACCTGAACAGTAGCAAGGAGATTGCAAAGTGCAAAAAGAGGAACTGGGTGGGCTCTGGGTCCATGCCTCTCCATCAGAGGTGGCATCGGTTCCACCCAGTTCCTCTTACTCTCTGAGCAATTCAATCCAAAAGCCAATAGGTAGGAGTCCAAACAGCACTGACTGTGTGCAAAATCAAAACCCAGCAAAGAGAAGGGGATGGGGTGAGAGGTGGGGCAGGGAGGGTGGCAATCTAGCACAGGGCAAGCCCTTTGGAACTTTGAACACTTTGCCTGGAATTCTCCAGAGCAGCGGTTGCCAACCTTTCGGACCTCATGGATCACCAGTGATCCGCAGACTACCTACTGTTGGCAACCACTGCTCCAGAGCAAGACCACAAGTTCATTGGATACATTTTGTGTCATCCTTGCTCGCTGCGTGCTGCCTGTATGTGATTTAGGGCTCTGACAATCTCCAGGAACAATTTCCTTTTTGCACTTTGCAATCTCTTTGCTACTGTTCAGGTCTCGGCAAGCTTTCTGCTTCCAAAGTCAATGCTCTGTGTTTTAGGGTTTTGGAAGCTTCACTTTCTGTTTCAATCACACATTGCGGGGCTTGGAAAATAAGTTCCATAGGTCAAATCCAGCCCACCAGCTGTTCTTGTGAAGACATTTTATTAGAACTCAGCCATGCATATAGGTTTAGTGCAAGAGACCATCTTGCCTGTAAAACCTAAAATATTTACGATGTCAACATAAGAAATATCCAAACCGTGGCTCAGTGGTTGCGGGTCAATGTATGAACCAGGTAGTCACAGTTTGATTCCCGGTCAGAGCACATGCCCAGTTGCAGGCTCCATCCCCAGTGTGGGGCGTTTTTAAGGGGCAGCCGATCAATAATTCTCTCTTATTATTGATGTTTGTAGAGGGCCCCCTGGGAAGGCACATGGATATTTCCTTAATTATCGTCAGCTGAACTCAGGGGGACAGACAGAGCCACACCCTGGGAACATGCTTCCTCAAAAAGGCCAGACCATGTTATCAGTACTGACTTTTTACCTTTGTCCAGTACTGACTTTTTACCTTTGTCCAGCAGGCTTTGATATGTAAATCCAGTCAAGCACCAGAAATGCTAGGGCCTACTTGAATGCAAATAAGCTCCTTTGATTCTAAGTTTTGGTGATACTTGCTGGTATTTGTGGATATATAAAAAACACACTATGTGGGCTCTGGGTCCATGCCTCTCCATCAGAGGTGGCATCGGTTCCACCCAGCTCCCAGCTTTATAAATCTATTAATCTATCACAACACCAATATAAACAGCCTGTCAGGATGTTACTCCCATCCACACTTTGTTCTGAGTGCCCACCTGGACTTCCTCTCAAGACCTAAAGTGAGGTAGGCTTCCTCCAGCTTCCTCCTCTTACCCCAATCTCCACAAAAATGCCTCTGACATTGGTGCTAGGCCCCAGATAGTGAGTTCAGCCATCCATTTCTAGCAACATCTGTTCCCAGGACAGGATATGTCTGTCCACGATCTATTGGGATCAGTCCTTTGCCTCAAGTACAACTCTCTCAGATCCTAGAAAGGCCACTCTAGTCATTTAGAGGTTAATTTTCCTCTTAATTATATTATCATCTAACCCATGTTTTAAACATTTTAATCAATAAGAATTTCATAGCAGCCCTAGCCGGTTTGACTCAGTAGATAGAGCCTCAGCCTGTGGACCAAAGAGTCCTGGTTTTGATTCCAGTCAAGGGCACTTACCTTGGTTGCAGGCTCCTCCCGGTCCTGGGTCCTGGTCAGGGCTCCTGCAGGAGGCAACGGAACGATGTGTTTCTCTCACATCGATGTTTCTATCTTTCCCTCTCTCTTCCACTCTCCCTAAAAATCAATGGAAAAGTATTCTCAGGTGATGTTAGCGAAGAAGAAGAAGGAGAAGATCATGGCAGAGATTGTTAAAGGTCTTGCTGAAGGCCCAGTTTGCCAGCAAGGGCAGCTCTGTGATCTGTCAGTTCAGGAACTTGTCAAGAAAGGAAATTTGGCCGAAACCGGTTTGGCTCAGTGGATAGAGCGTTGGCCTGTGGACTGAAGGGTCCTGGGTTCAATTCTGGTCAAGGGCATGTACATTGGTTGCAGGCAGGTCCTCAGTAGGGGGTGTGCAAGAGGCAGCTGATCGATGATTCTCTCTCATCGATGTTTCTAACTCTCTCTCCCTCTCTCTTCCTCTCTGTAAAAAACCAATAAAATATATATATTTAAAAAAAAGAAAAAAGAAAGAAAGGACATCTCTGCAGCCAGCTGTCCCCTGACCCAGACGGACACCTGGAGGTGAGGCCTGTGGGCCCACACAGGCACCCTGGCCCATGTAGGTTTCCTCCTCGCTGTTCACCGCAGGAAATGTATGTACCAACACAGGCTTTGTGTGTCACGATGAAAGCAAATCCCAGAGCCCTGGTGCTGGGTTTCAGGCCCTCTCAGGAGAAAACCCCAGGCGCGCAGAGGCCTGGGGCCAGCCACCCCAGGCCAGCTCTCAAAGGCCCCTTGCGACCGTCCCTTTCTCTCGTCTTTCCCCACTGTGATGAACGTCCAGGGATTAGCCCTTCTGTGTTTATTGGATGAGCAATTTGTGTCTGTCTGAAAAGCTATGTCTGAATAATATTTGGCACGAGCTGAAGAAATGTGATCTGCTGTATTCCCCTCGGCCAGCTCTCTGGAGCCAGCCCGTCTCCTGCCAACGGGGCTACACAGCTCTGCAGCTGGGCCTGCAGCCCAAACATGTCTGTGCATGAGACTTGGGGGGTGGGGGAGTGGGGAGGAGGGGGAGGTGCTTGTTGTGGGACCAGAAGCCCAGAGGGACGGAGGGGTGGAGCAGCCTTAGCGAATCTGCCAATAGTTCTGGAGCTTCCCTGGTCATTTAGGGACATCACAGTAAACACTTAGACCTGGGAACAGAACAACTGAGGGCCCCATGCAACTCAGGAGCCCAGGTGTGAACTCAGGAGTCCCAGGTGTGAACTCCGTAAAAGAGATTCAAGGGAGTTCAATGGGTTGTCTGAGGGCCCCAGGTGTGGGGGGTGGGGTGGGTAATTGGTGCTAGGTGGTTGAGGTTTGCATGTTTGTGTGGGTGGGGTCTAGCTGGTAAGATGTACTGAGGCTGTTGAAATGTTCCCTGACTCTGTCTATGTAAGTCCCTGCTCTGGGGAGGACAGAGTTTGCAGCGGTGGCAATCAGGCCACTCGGGTATGAGGTGCTGAGGGGTGTAGAGGGGAAGGAAATTGGTGCATGTGGGCCTGCCAGCAACCTCCTCTCCCCACCCCAGAGCTTTCTGCTGTTCTCACTCCGCACTCCGCCTGCTTCTTTCTTAGGGCCCAGGTCACTTCTTATCTCCTATTCTTTCGGTCTCAGGCTTTCCCCATCTCTATCCCACACTCCCCAAGCCAGTGATTGGGTTGAGGGCAGGACATCTTCCCTGTACCCCAAACAGCAAACACAGAACTGATCACCGAGGAGGTACCAGTAATGGTTTACTTAGTAAAAGAATGAAATAGAGAGAGAGAGGGTGGGAGCTTAGATGTTGGTGTTCACAGACTCACAAAATAGCAAATGACAGGTCAGACAGAGATAACAACACAGGACTTGGATTCGGGAGTGAGAACATGGCCACAATGACACCAGCCTCCGTGTCTGCCCTGGGCAGCAGCCTGTAGGGAAAGCCTGCTCCTCAGGACAAGACCCCTACCACCCCCCACCCCCCAGGCTCTTCAGTGGCTGTACCCCTCCTGCTGAATGGCAGTGGTGCTCCATATGGTTCCATCTGTTCAGTTCACGTGTTTTGATTCCAATCTTGTCTTTGTACCATGCTCCATATATCTGTACCCTCAAATAGGGGGAAATGATACACCCATAAAAAGGAAGGAGCAGTCTGTGCTCTAATAGAGGTGCAGAGAGAAGGTATAAAAGTCCGGGGGGAAAAGGGTTAATTTCACTTGGAGGTGCAAGGAAGTGATATTAGACCTGGACCCGGAACAGAGTCTGCAAATGCACCCCAAATGTGTTGTCTGCCCCATCCCCCTGCCCCCAAACACACACTCAATTTGGTGTCCATGGAAGATTTTGCTACCTGACCCCTTTTCTCTTTCCCTGAGCCCAGCCGCTTCCACAGAATCCTTCTCTACCCAGCAACACAGCCAGATGATCAGAGCAGGCACGTGAGAGGTGAACACCGTTGCCACACCTTGGATACAGCTGACACATGCAGGGATGGGAGGCAGAAGGAGGGGCGAGGAGAGGCACGGAGGTGTGAAGACGCTGGAGACGCTGAAGGCGGATGGCGAGAGTGTGTGGGAGGGTGAGACTTGAGGGTGAGGTTTATGAATGGGAAACAGCAGGCAGCATGGCAGAGGAAGTAGGTTGGGGCGATGGTGATCTGGATTAGGATCTCGCCAGGCTCAGGAATGTGTGCTGAAGCTGTGCAGGCAGGAGCAACTGAGC